GGGAGGCTGTGCTGCTGGCATCTGGTGAGTAATGGCCAGAGACGCCGCTGAGCATCCTGCACTGCGCAGGACATCCCCCCACACGTATCCAGAGTGCTGAGGTTGTGAAACCCTGCATGAAGAGGAGTCGGGCTGCTGGGTGAAGAACAGGCTCTCAGGTACCACTCATCTGCCCAAGCAGCCCCTTTGCATTATAACCCGGGCCTTCCGGTGACAATGCCGTCCCTAAGCCATAAGCGCAGTTGGACTGGCTGAGCGGGGGAGGGGCCCTTCGAGGTATCACTGCGCACGCGCCACCTGCTCCGCGGGGGAAGCCAAGGGATTACAGGGACCAGCTCAAACGGTGCCCTCTTCCTCCGTGGTCACAGCTGAGATCTTGTCATGACAGTTGCTGCCAGGTCCGTACTCTCCTCCTCTCTGACCCCAGTGGCACGCGATGCCCAGCACTTTGCAGAGAGTTTATGGGTATTTACACCAGCACGCAAGCCCATCATCACAGCTCCGCCGTGTGAATCAACATAGCATGAAAGGGCTCTCCTCTTGCCCCAGTCCTCCAACGTGAGGTTGGTTTTAAGATTTAGAACAGACATGATTGAGCTGTGGTGACAATGGGAGGTCTGGAGGAAATGTCTCCCAAGGAGGAGGGGACCAGTGTCTCCTCAAGAGTGGGGTTGACCAAGCGATGGTAGGAGAGTTTGTCTTCTGTGCCCCAGTTATGAACCATTCTTCTTCCACCTCTAGGGGGTGTTTTTTTTAGGGGGGTGTTGTCTGTGTCATGGCAACTTTGAAGAAAGCTGTAGAAAACTTCTCTCTGGGAAAATGAACACTGAAGACAAAAGTTTATTTACAATTTAGGAGATCCTCAGATCCCCTTGAAGCCTATCCATGACCTTACAAAATAATTCACACCGACATGTAAATGACTAACAGGGTTCTGTATTTCCATCTTTTTTTTTTTTTTTAAGATTTTATTTATTTATCTGACAGAGAGAGACACAGTGAGAGAGGGAACACAAGCAGGGGAGTGGGAGAGGGAGACCAGACTCTCCACTGAGCAGGGAGCCCGATGCGGGGCTCGATCTCAGGACCCTGGGATCATGACCTGAGCCAAAGGCAGACGCTTAATGACTGAGCCACCCAGGCTTAGCCATCCCTGCATTTCCATCTTAATGGGGAATAAAACCCTTAAGCTAAAGGAACTGTTCTTACTAGGGGAACTACTCCATCAGTGGGCTGAGACCCTTTCTAAAGGGAATGGGAAAGCATCTCCTAACTTCTGAATCTTCCCATATCCCTGCTGTACCTACATATAAAACTGGGTTTGGAGGTGGGAAAGCAAAAGAGGCAAGAGGGGCTGTTTCTAGGCTAATTTGAAATCAAAAGGCCACCTGAGACTTGACGCAGTGGGGCTTGTTGGGACCACAGTACCAGATCCTCCTCGTCATCCCAGAGCATCTGATCTCGTTAATGGGCCAATAAAAATTAGGGGGACAAAGGCCAAGCCCTGGCAGCTCAAATGAATCTCCTCACCAAGAGGGAGCAATCTCGTAAAGAGTTGTAACTGAGCAAACGGAGGACTCATTGCGTTTCATTAACTTTAATAGTGCTCGTTATGTTGGCTTCCAAGGGCTGTGGGATAGAGGAGAGAAAGCCAGACTCATCATCAGCACTTGGGAGTGGGCTGGCTCTCGTGGGCACCCCTGAGGCGAGCTGGAAGTGGCTGGTCTTGCTACCCCCACGGGCTCCCCAGCCCAGCATGACATCCTGGCTACATAGGCAAGAAGCCCAGGCCTCAAGGACTAATTCTTTCCTGCCAGGGTGGAAAAAGACAGGGACAAAGAGCTTGGGGCAAACCATCTCCAAGCTGGGCAGGCCACCTGGCTCTGGGCACCCACATAGAAGCCCTTCCCGGGACATCCAAAGTCTGGCTCCGATGCTCACCAAGCCCCCACAACAGGATCCTGCCAGCCCAGAGCCTGGCCCCGGGGCCATTGTCAATGCCGGTCATGTCCCTGACCTCCTTCTTCTCTATCCCAGACATGTACACTGCCAGAAAAACGGAAAACAAACAAACAGGGCCAGCAGAAAACACATCACCAAACAAACCCGCCTCACATTGTCCTCTGCGGTCGGCCAGGGCCTGGAGCCCGAGGCCACTGGCCTGGAAAAGCCCAAACAGCTCCCTAAGTGCAGCCCCTGAGCAGAGCCTCCTCCCACAGCAGGGTCTGCGTTGCCTCCTCCCCGGCTGCTTCCTTCTCTTTTCCTTCTCCATCTTTCTTTTCCTTCTATCCATTCTTTCCCTCCCTCTTGCTTTTTTTGCGTGTCTCCCCCCCCCCCCCCACCGCCTTCTCTCTGTTCTTTCTGCATCCATGATGAAATAAACTCTCTAAACATTGAAGAAATCCTGCAGAGTACATAAAGCCCAGAGTATATAAAACCAATGCATGACGTGAGCCAGCCACACTGTCGCCTTGCTTTAAAGTCATCTATCAGGGGTTCCAGACCCACGCACAACCCCTTAACATCACGTGGAAACCCGCTCTTCATTGTCTGGCCCACCTTTCAGATCTTAGTACTTGTCTCAAGTTGAGCTACATTATTAGTCCCCTGGAGACCTTTCCCCCTCCAAGTCCTTGCTCACCTCATTTCCACCACCGGGAAAGCCCTGGCCCTCTTCATGCAACTCCACATATGGGAATTCGATGTATTCTTTGAGGTCATCTTTAAACCCTCCCCTCTGGGGCGTCCCCCAGCTTCCAGCTGGAATTAATCTGTTTTCTTTGTGCCCTCATTACAATTTTATGTTGACACCTTTGTGTTTGGGCATTTACCATGTTCTGCCTTATATTCTAATTATTTAGATGCAAATTTCTCTCTACTACCTAATTATGAACTTGAAAGCAGAATTTATGTCATCTTTGAGTTCCCATCTCCTTTAAGTTCCTGGCACATAGTAAGTGCACAAAGAATGTCAAACTCATTAAAAATCGAATCCACGGTTATAAGAAGCACACATACAATTAATTCCACATCTTGACTTCACCATTTGCAAATTTGTTTGAGGCGCTGGGTTCCTTGAGTAGGCTCCCCAAGGTCCGATTTCAGGCGTTTGCCAAGGGCTGGAGGATGGTATGTTAGATGGCGGCACCTACTGGCTAAGGGTGGCATTACAGCTTGGGTCCGCCACAGAGGAGCAACCCAATTTCTCAATCAATCGCAACAGGATTGGACCAGGGCGTGGAGGGGAGGGTGAGGCAGAAGAGGACTAGAATGAGTTCCTCTCGCTCCTCAGGAGCTTTAGGCTGATCATGGGGAGGAGCATTCCTGAGTCCGGGCCAAGGCTTGCTCTCCACCAGCGCACTGCAGCCTCCCGCAGACTGATAATTTTGCAGGACCAGAGTGAGCCAGACACAGCCTGGCTGTGATGCCCCCTTAGCTTTGCCAACCCAGCTTGACATGATGCCTGGGACAGCTCTCCACCTAAGACAGAGGAAGAGAGGTGGCATGAAGAGCCTCTTGCCGAACAAGGGAGGCAAACTTCTGTACGGATATTGACACTCCTCATAAGCACACAGCTGGCAAACATTCTGACCCCTTCCTTGCTGCAAGTTTTCAGCTTCTCCTAACAGGATTCTCAGTCCTGTGGGAGCCCTTCTCAGAAAATACAATAGAAGCTATTGGAGAACTGAGTTTTTAAAATAGCCATTCATTTTATGAATTGGTTCATGAATACCTTGAACTTTGCCCCAGTGCCTCCCCCCATCCTTTCTTTGATCCGAGGTACCCAGAGGAATTACACCCTGTCTCTGTCTCTGCAACTTTTCCTCTGGGGAGGGAACCCAGGGGGGATTTGGGGGAGGAGAGCCACAGGGAAACAGGTCAGGAGGAGCAAAGCTGAGCCTGCTCTCAGCGAAGTTAGGAGGTTCTTCAGGAGCGTCCCTCAGCCCCTCCTCAGCCACACCTTTGTTAAGGTTTCAACTGATAATTAAAGATTTAACCAGCAAAGGCTTAATCTTGCTACCCTGTCTCACAGGGATATTTGTATTTAGGACCCAAGGAACACAAGGTATAGCTCAAAGGAGTGATCCTCTTATGATGGGATTTTAAGCATTGGTGGGAAGGATCTTTGATGGAGCAGTTGAAGGAGGATGAGGGACCTGCCTCCTGAGCCTGCTTCCCCCAGATAGAAGCTGCCTGTGGACTTGGCCCCATCCACCTTGGCCCCTGGCCTTTGGGGAGATCCTGAGCTCTGGCTTGCGAGGTTCCAGTTCTGCATATCTTCCAGAATCTGAGAGTCTCTAGCCAGAGTCACCTCCTAGGCCCCTTGTATCTCTGTGGTTTTTCTTCAGCTTGGAGTCTCCACACTGCTCCTCCATTTAACCCTCTGCTGCTACCAGTCCTTTCAAGAACCGGAAGCATTCTCAGGCTGGCGGAAGGCAGAGAGACAGGTCAAGAGATGTTCCTTGGGATTCCCTTGAATCTCCTTGCGATTCCCATGAGCTCACTATTCCTTCATTCTTTCATTCATTCAACAAACATTCACTGAGCTCAACTATGTGCTCGGGGCTGGGGATACAGTGGTGACCAATGGGTCTCGAAGGTTTGGAAGACCAGTGAAGGGAAACAGACCATTATGGTATAGCATGGCCAGGGCCATCACAAGGACCACTGAGCTCCAGGCCTGCAACAAGGCACATTTAAGCTGGATCTTAAAGGGTAGCTGTGGTTTTCCAGCTGGCAAGAACATGGCATATGCCAGGCATGGTGTGGTCTGGGTACAGTGATGGCGAGATCAGAAGACAAACATGTCATTGGAGAGAAAGGTCCAAGACTGGCACAGAGGGCCATGTATGCCATACTAGGAGTCTGGAACTTACCCCTGTCAGGCAATGGTCCACAGGAGACACAGCGAATGTCAGAATGGAGGCAGTGGCTATGGGGGTTGACAGGAGGGATGGATTTGAGGGAGGTTTCACAGGATCTAGTGGTCTAGAGATGGGAAGAAAAAAAGAATCCTTCTGGTCCTAGAGAAATCCAGCTGGGGCTGCTGAGTGGGTTATGGGGCCATTAACCCCAAGATGGAGGCCACAGGAAGAGGACAGTTCAGGGGAGAGTGTTGAGAGGAACTGTGAGTTTGGTTGGGTGTCGATTCAGCTTGAGGTCTTGAAAAATGCCATTGGAAAGAGCTATAAGTAGGCAGAAATATAGAACTAGACAGAAAAGAGAGGAAGAAGCTAGAGAAAGAGATCTGAACATTGGACATATAGCATAAAAGCTAGAAGAAAAGCAGGGGTTAGGGATGTAGATCTGGGAGTCTTCAGCACATTGGTGGTAGCTGGAGCCATAGGGCCCCACAGTGTGGAGTAAACTCTCTACCTACTTTGTGCTGGGATTTCCATGAGACTTATCAGCAGTAACCCTCCAACAACCTGCAAGGTCAGAATTTCATCCTTCTCATTTGCTGGATGAGGAAGTTGAAGCTCAGAGATGTGAAGAAACTTGGTCAAACTCACCCACTGATGCGCTGGGCTTTGAACTTAGAACTGTCTGACCACAAAGCCAATATTCTTTTTACCACCCTTGCTGTCCTGGGTGAGAGTCCCTAGGGAGGTCACATAATGTGAGAGCTGAGAAAATCCAAGCTAGAAACACTTAAGAGGCCAGTGGAAGGAGGGCAGTTAGCAGGGGATCTGGGAAAAGAAAGGGATCCAAGAAGGGGGAGAAAAATGTTCAGAGGCTTCTGATGACGCAGAGAGGTCAGGCTAGATAAGGACTGGCAGGCAGCCCGACAGGGAGACAGGGAAGTCACTGGAGCCCCAGCAGATGTGTGTCAGAGGGGCCCCAGGCCAGACTGCACTAGGGTGAGGGGTTAAGGGAAGCAGCAAAGTGGAAATGGAGAGCAGGCATGCTCCTCCTAGAAGTTCAGGAGCCTGAAAGGACAGAGGCAGCGGGGTCTGGGGAAGTTTGTAGGGTGCTGCAGGTTATCCTCCATTTGTAGGAGAAGGAGCTGAGGTGAGGGATTCAGGAGGGGGAGGGGATAACTGACAGCCCCAGCTCCCTATAGGGCCAAGACAAGATGGGATCCTTGCCCATGTATGCAGGATTGGCCTTGGCCAAAAGGAGGGACCCCTCTCTCAGCAGTAGAGGGAGAGGGGGTTGGGGGATAGGAGGTTCTTGCCAGATGGCTTCTGGCTTCTCCATGATATAGGAGTTGAGGGTACTACTGGGAGAAGTCAGGGGGCTGAGGCTGGCAGAGGGGAAACCAAAGTGTGGAAGAGCAGCTGTGTAGAAAGGGACAGGGCACAAACTCAGGGCTGTTTGGAGACTTGCCTTGTGATGTGGAGGGGTCTGGAACCACGCATTGGTGTCAATGCCAATTGGCAGGATGGGTATTTTCGTTTCCTCCATGGAAGCAGCCAGCGAGCAGGTGGGAAGGAAGCAGGTGGCAAAGTGACTCAGGTGTGGGGGTGGGCAGGGAGGAAGGGCTGGGAGGACCCTGGGACGAGGGGCCAAGGAGACCACCCAAGTGGCCAGAGGAGAGACTGGAACAGGTATGGGCAGCTTGGACTGGGCTATCCCCCCTCCCCACCCAGGTCTTGGCAGGGCTGCCAGTAGACCTCTCTTGTAAAGGCAAGACTAAGGGCCTTGGAGCAAGTTAGTCCTAGAATCCCAGGGCCAGAACAGACTTCTGCGGAGAGCATTACTTCCAATCCTCTGCCTGTATGGCCAAATGGCTCCGGAGCCATCCCAGACAGGTGGGACACAAGGACCGAATAGGGTCTACGTGTCCGCTGAGCTGGTATGATTCCCCCCTCCCTCCTTTCTTCCATTTCTTTGGTGGTGGTTGTTCTGAGCATTCTCTTTTTTCTCCGTCAGTCACTGATTAGTGTTTCTATTTCTATCTTGTCCATTGATTTCTTTCTAAGTGTCATCAAGATTCACCTAAAATCCCTCCTCATCCATGAAGTCTTCTTGGATGATCAACTTCTGTTTGCTGACTTTCCGGGGCACTTTCACCCAGATTGCTTGATGTTGCATTTGCATATGCATAGTCGGTTTTGCATATACAGATCTTGTCTTCCTGGTGAGATTCCAGCCCTCGGGGGGATTTGCCTTCTGATGCGGAGGGGTCTGTAACCATACGCACTAATGTTGATACATCTCTTGGAGTAGGGAATCACATTTTCTATTTCTTTTGTAGGCCCTAGAGGGCCTAGGATGGCATGTATTGCGGAGAAGTTATGTGGTTAAGTACCATATTCCACCTGATGGAAGGATTCATGACTGATCAAATCATCAGGAAGAGGAAGAGCGAAAACCGGAAGAGGTAGGACTGGCAGCTCTGAGGGTACAGGCTTAGGAGCACTGATCCAAAAGTCAGAAGTCAGGGGAGACATGGATTCTGCTTCTAGCTTTGCCTCTTAAATTTGTGTGACCTTGAGCAAGTCATGTGACCTCTCATTAGACAAATGTGATGCCTAAAGACCCCCTTTTTATTTTTTTTTAAGATTTTATTTATTTATTTAACAGAGAGAGACACAGTGAGAGAGGGAACACAAGCAGGGGGAGTGGGAGAGGGAGAAGCAGGCTTCCTGCCGAGCAGGGAGCCCGATGCAGGGCTCGATCCCAGGACCCTGGGACCATGACCTGAGCCGAAGGCAGAGGTTTAACGACTGAGCCACCCAGGCGCCCCTAAAGACCCCCTTTTAAAAAAGATTTCTTTATTTACTTGAGAGAGAGAGGGAGAGAGAGAGTCTTAAGCAGACTGCACTGAGTGCAGAGCGGGACACGGGGCTTGATCTCACAACCCTGAGGTCACCACCCTGAGATCAAACCAAGAGTTGGATGCTTAACCGAATGCATCACCCAGGAGACCCGATGGCTAAAGCCTTTTGAAGTTGTACTCCTACATGATCCTCCAGAGCAAGATGACTGCCCTATTCCCTCTTATATGTGAAGGGGCTGGTCTGTGACCCTCAGCCTGCCCCAGATGATTAAACTCGAACAGTGGCCAGAATGTTAGGTCTCTGTGGATTCAGAGGAGGCAGCATAGAGAATGGAGGAGGCACCCAAGCTTCAGAGTCAAGTCTGGGCCCAAGTCCTGGCTTTGTCCTTTCTTAGTCGGTCATCTGGGCAGTTTGACCTACTTGAGCCTTAGTTTTCTCATCAACAAAATGGGTATAACAGTTCTTGCCTGACAGGCTTGCAGTGGATTGCCTGTTACAGTGCCTGGCACATATAGAAAGTACTCAGTAAATGGTAGCTATGAGCTCTAATTTGTCTTAGTGTCTGGGTCTTCTTCATGCAGGGTAGGAGGTACAAGACGGTAGAGAAAGAGGGATTCTGGAGCTGCCCCACCTGGCAGGTGAGTGTCCTTCTACTCTCCAACTTGAAAGTGCTGCGGATGAGTGCAGTGTGTTGGGATGCATGGCATTTCTGGAAACGTCTCAGTAAGAACGTGTGACGGGGGTGCCTGGGTGGCTCAGTCGGTTAAGCGTCTGCCTTGGCTTCAGGTCATGATCCTGGGGACCTGGGATCGAGCTCCACGTGGGGCTCCCTGCTCAGCAAGGAGTCTGCTTCTCCCTCTCCCTCTACCCTTTCCCCCGCTCTTGTTCTCTCTCTCTCTCTCAAATAAATAAATCAAATAAAATACAATAAAAAAAAAAGAACATGTGACAGACGGAACCTATTGGGGGTGGTGAGAACTGAACCAAGCCGGTTGTACTCACACCCAGTAGCATTAAACCCTGGCCCAGGACAAGACTGCTTCTTCCCAGGTACTACTATACGTTTACTATTAAAAACCATTGCCATTGTTCCTTCTGAGTAGTCAGAAGAACAGCAGTAGCCGCTGCCTACCGAATGCCTACTATGTGCCAAGGGGGTTTCCATTCATCATTTCATTTAATTAACGCCGTAACATTTCGAGGTGGGTGTTTTTATTCCCTTTGTGGGAAGAGAAAACTGAAGCTCACTGAGATTGAATAAGTTACCTGAAGTCACATAGCTAGAAAGTTAACAGAGCTGAGATTTGCCCTTTTTCTTTTTTTTTTTTTTTAAAGATTTTATTTATTTATTTGAGACAGAGAGAATGAGAGAGACAGAGAGCACATGAGAGGGGGGAGGGTCAGAGGGAGAAGCAGGCTCCCTGCCGAGCAGGGAGCCCGATGCGGGACTCGATCCCGGGACTCCAGGATCATGACCTGAGCCGAAGGCAGTCGCTTAACCAACTGAGCCACCCAGGCGCCCTGCCCTTTTTCTTGAGAGAGAGAGAGAGAGAGAACGAGAGCAGGGTGGGGGGCAGAGGAAGAGGGAGAGGGAGAATCTTAAGCAGGCTCCACGCCCAGCACAGAGCCCAACACGGGGCTTGATCTCACAACCCTGAGATGGTGACCTGAGCCAAAATCAGAGTCAGATGCTTAACTGACTAAGGACCCAGGTGCCCCAACAGAGCTGAGATTTGAATCACACGGTTTCTTTTACTCTTGAGCCCATGTAGTTAAGCAGTGATGCATGCCCACCTTTGAGGTAGTGTGACCGTGATGTAGATAAGGAAGCTGAGGCTCAGAGAAGTGAAATAACTTAGCAGAAACAGGTAGATGGCTGGAAAATGGGAGAGCCCGACATTGTCCTTGGGATGGTCTAATTCTGACGTGTACATGTTCTCCATTAGACTAGACTCCTTGTCAAGGAAGGTCACTGGACCCATTTTACAGATGGGGAAGCTGAGGAGCCCAGAGAAAAAGCAAAGGCTCATGGAAGGAGACTTGGCAGGGGAGGGGAAGTCTCTGAGTGTGATGGGGCCCTGGCAGAGGTATTCCCTAAGCAGGATCAGATTAGAAGGAAATGACTGTCAGAAGCAGAAGTGAAGGCAGAAAGCCCGAGAGAGTGTGGGAGGCCCAGAGAACCCCATGACACTTTGCTCCTGCTGGTGAGGGTATGGCATATGCTACTGCTTTTGTAATACCACTTGCAAGTGCCATCTCATGATTTCTTCCTTGTCACCTTCCCGTGTCACTACCCAGCTGTGAGTCCCTGCGGAAGTGGACAGGGCCGAGGGCCATGGGACCAGCCTCCCCAGTTCACAGTGCCCAGTGATAGAAGCCTTGCTTCTGCTCCTGCAGAATTGTCTGCAGGGCCAGGGGTGGGCTGGGACCAGACTGGATGGTGGGGAGCAGAGCAGGGATCTGCCTCTTCTGCCCAGATGTGGAGGAAGCTCACCCAATCCTGGAGGAGAGGAGAAAAAGCTGGCAAAATGAGGGGAAAAAAGGAAACTAGAGTAAAAGACACTGAGCCTCCCAGAGACTTAGCAGCTAAGGTGGGGCAATGGCCACGCTCAGGGGACCAGGAAATCACACTGAACTAGAGACAAGGTTTGAGGTGACCTATTAATCTGCCCCTACAGAATCCTTCATGCCCACCTCCCCTGTGGTTTAGAGGGTGAGCCAGAGCCCTCCTCCCTAGGGACCCAGAGAAGCTCACGCGAGCGTCCAAAGCAAGGCACAATGCAATCTCCCTTCCCTGCCCTGGGGAGGAGGGCTTCTCAGCTCTCTCCCTGTGTCCCCATGTAGATCAGGCACCATCTGGCAACCTCCAATTCTCCTTCTTCTTCTTCTTCTTCTTCTTCTTCTTCTTCTTCTTCTTCTTCTTCTTCTAACTACTCTCTTGTTTGGGGCAGAAAGGATGGCAAGTTTGCACTTGTCCCCCAGCCCTATACATAATTGGTGGCAGCAGGCAAAGCAGCTTCAAGGGGAGGGGTTTGCCAATGGAATGAAGGAGGGAGGGAGTCCTAGAGTGACAGAGCTGGGAAGGACCTGGGAGATCACTTGACCCAAACTTTTGTGGCCTCCACACCATTCCTGTGATCTGTGTGCTTCCATCCCTACCATCATCTCTCATGCCAAGCAGGAGTTCTCAAGACCTCCTCCCCTAGGCTTCCTAAGGGCACTGTCTCCTGCCTCCTTTCCATCAAGGAGCTAATCCACCCTCTTGTTTTCTAGATAACACTGAGGCTCATTGAGATGTGATTTGCCCAAAGGCAATCTTCATCCCAGGATAGAGCCAGGACAAAACCCCAAATGCTTGAGACTCTTTCTGTCCTCCTACTCTTCTATTCAATCCCTAGGGAAGGAAGGGCTCAATTCTTCTCCCTGGGGGCTCAGGAGACCTCTGACATATCACACCTGTCACCTAGCAGATGTGGGCTGCCAGTGTCAAGGTTGTCTGAGAACAGAGTTATTTTCAGGATGATTCTGGTCATTTCCCTTCCTCCCGGGTATCCTGAGGGCTTTGTGAGGTTAGCCTGGGTTCCACTTGCCTCTTCCCTGAAAAAAATTGGTTCTGAAGCGTAAGTAACTGCCTGGAACCTGGCATGGTCTCAGGCTGACTGAGCCCCACACTCCAAGAAAGCCCTCACCACCTTTTCAAGGGGTCTTTCCCTAGGATGAAAGGAGAGAAGACGCTGAACTCTAAATCGACCCAGGAGGCAGTGTCCATGGTTCAGAGACACTGCTCTTTGTATACTTTTTGCCCTTATTTTTTGCAAATATCATTTATCTTTCCTCTGCTGCCAGCAGTTGGAGATAAGAAGAGCTCAGAATGGACTGGTTGGGACCACATCTTGAAGCTGTGAGGGCAGGTTTGGAGAAGCGTGCTGTGCAGATCTTTGTGTCTGTATTTACACGCATAGGCATATTCCTATGGGTTAGCTTTTGGCCCTGTGCTGAGTGCTTGAGAGTGTTTTATATGTGAGCCCACCTCTATATGGGTAGGGTGACTCAGTGGGCTACCTCCAAGGCCTTAACTGCAAGGGAGCCTACCCTGGAGCTGGCAGTTTGATATGGGGGAAGGCTACCTTCTTCTTGGTCCTCAATTAAAGTGGACTCAGCACTAAGAAGGAGCACTGAGACGGGGGGGGGGGGGGGGGGGGGAGGAGGCGGGGGGCGGTGGAGGTAAGAGTTGGCAGGGCGCCCTTCGGCCCGAAGTCGGAGCCCCTCTCGGTTTTTCGAGGTCCCATGTGGCCGTGTCTCGCGTGTCGGGCTGTGTCGGGCGGGCGTGCCGGAGTGCCCGTGCGATCCCGTCCGCCCCAGCCTCCCCGACACCCCGAGCTCTCTTTGTCTCCTCGTGGAGGTGTGCGTGCAAACCTGCGTTGCACGGCCCTCATCTCGTGCGAGCGCCGGGGCGCACCCTAGCTCCCCCACTCTTCCCGCCGGGAGAGAGAAGGAGCCGGAGCCCGGTGCTGTTTGGTCTGGAGCCGAGCGGGGCTTGCATTGATCCATTGATTGTGCGCGGTCTGCGCCTGACCTCCCTGCTCCCGGGGAAGCCGTCTCCATGGAGACCGGGCCCGCTCCCCCAGCGCCGGATTGTAAATTCCTGCAGGCAGCGGCCCGGCAGCCTGGGGAGGGGGCCGCCGCGCCCGGGCGCGCAGGGGGAGCGGCCGCCGCGCCGAGGCCCCCTTTGAAAGAAAAAAGGGCACGAAAAAGGAGGTGGTGGAGGAGGAGGGGGAGGAGGAAGAAAACGAAAAGGAGCGAGGAGAGGAGGAGAAAGAGGAGGAGGAGGAGAAAGGCGAAGAAAAAGAGACGGAGCCTGAGAGACGGAGAAGGAGCAGGAGAGGAAGAAAGAGAGGCAGAAAGGGCGTGTTTCTGGCGCTGCGTTTCCCCTCCCCTTTCTCAGGTCCCTCGCTCGGGCTCGGCGCGCTCTCCCGCGGCAGCTCTCTCCGGGCGAAGCTGGGAATTGGGTGGGATTATACGGAGCGGCCCCGCCGCCGCCGCCGCTAGCAGAGCCGGGCTCCGAGAGGGCGGGGGTTCCCCTCCGTCATTGGCGCCGGGCGCCCCCAGCCTCGTCGCGCTCTCCGCCTCGCTCTCCCCGGCGTCGGGCCGGGAGAAGCCGGCAGCATCGCGAGCCTCCCGCCGAGGGCGCCGCGGTCCGCGCCCCGCGCCCGCAGCCCCCGGCCCGGCCCGGGCGGGGCGCCCCCTCCCCTCCCCCCTCCGGCGCGCGGGGCCCCGGCCGGCCTCCGCCGTCCCGGGGCTGCGAGACCGGCCCCGGCCGCCCGGCCGCCGGTGGCTCCAGCCATGGGCTCGGGGCGCGTGCCCGGGCTCTGCCTGCTCGTCCTGCTGGTCCACGCCCGCGCCGCCCAGCACAGCAAAGCCGCGCAAGGTAAGGAAGGAGGGGCGCACGGCGGCGGGGACTGCGGGGGCCCGAGGGCGGGGGGGGCGCGATTTCCGAGGGGCAGGGCAGGTGCTGGGAAGCGTGCCGCTGTCAGAACCCAGCACCGTGCACCCGCACTCCGGCCGGGGGACCTGACCTCACTCTGGGCGCTGCGTCCCGGGCAAAAGGCTGGAGGAGCCAGGAGCGACACGGAGGAGTGAGAAGTTTGGGGGGCCCTAGGCAGAAGTCGCCACGCACCTCAGAATTCTGCCCGACTTCGTTGGCACCCCAGCATCTTCGAAAGACTTCTTGTCCTCCAAAAGTACGAGAGAGGATCTTCTCTTCTCTCAGACATTGCCAGAAACTTAAGCTGTGGCCTGGAGAGACGGAGAGAATGAAACTTTTCAGCCACGCCATGTATTTCTTCCCCTCACCCCCAACCCTCATGCAAAGTCAGACAAAATTTCCAAGTTGTTGTCTTATCAGTAGAAAAATGTTAAAGAAAAATAGGATCTTTTCTGGAAAGACCAGCTCGTCTCTCACTGGATGGTAGGGGGCTGAAGAAGAGAAGAAAATTTCTGACTGGCTCCCAGCAAGAATGTCGCTTTCTGCCTCTTTGGGGGGAAATCTCTTTCGTCTTGCATGGCTTTCATTTCTTATCATAATATTTATTTATTAAGGCCTCGGGTTTCCAATTCCATTTAAATCCAGGTCAGAATTGCATTAAAATAACAAAGTAAAATTCCAGGCTGGGGAGCTCTGACAGATCCCTCTAGGAATTAAAGGGAGAGAGACAGGGAGGCCCTCCGGCCCCCATCCCTGACCCCAGGCTCATTGCTTGGCCAGTCCCAAGGCTTTGCTGGCAGAAACCAGGCTGGTGGGCTACAGTTCTCTTGGGGACAGCCTCCCCTCCCCCTTGACCTCTTGCTGCACCCTTCCCCCCATCATGTCCTCACCCAGGAAGAGATTTATATGGACAAAAAGAAAATTCCTCCTAGCAAGGCTTTGCCAAGGAGGATATGATTCTGCCTATTGTCCCAGGGGCTCCTGAAGCCAAGCTGGGGTGTGGAAGTGGCTGAGCCAGAAGGGGAAGTTGAACTTGGGAGTTGGGGAAGCCTGAGTCTCTGGCAGTCAGGTTGCCGTGTCCTGGAGCCTGAGCGCCTGGCTCTTAAGCTGCTTTTGTGTGCTGGATGGGCTCCCACTCTGGTAAAAGGGAGGTGCTATATCAACGCCAGTCTCTTCTCCCAAACGCTGCCTCTTCAACTACCTCCTTCTTCCTCCAACCTGTCCTTTAGCAGAGCCCAAGTACTGGAGATCCACAGCTGTCACATACCAGACCCCACCCCCAGCCCCTTCCAACCCCAAACTGCCTCTTCTCCAGTCCTGGTTCCAGACAGCCCACTACCACTGCCACCCCCAGCCTGGGAGCAGCCCCTCTCCCACTGTGGATTTGCTTGTGTTTTCATAAACAAAGCTGGCTTTTGTAGTGTGTGCTGACTTACTCATAACATGGAATTAGCTAGGGAGTTTAGTCTGAAGGAAGGAACAGATTTCATTCAGTAATCTAGAGACAAGATAAGGGCCTCTTTCAAGTTGGAGCCAGTGTCTGTAGTGGCCTAGTGAGACTGGGGGGCTGGGGGCAAAAGGGGGAGCAAACAGTATATTCAGGGGATTCCCAGGGCTGATGGAGACTCCTAGAAGGGACAGGTGCCAGGGGGGGATCAGCTCATCCTTCAGGGATGGAAGGATTCAAAATCCGTCCAAGGTGTTCTGGGGCTCCCTCTTTCATCAGACACCCTGCCGCGTGCTGTTGGGGGGGTGCCGCTAGATTGGAGGCCCCCTGCCCTCAAGGAACTTACATCCTCATAGTTTTGTTCACTACTTATATTCAGGCCACTGTCACTCGCTCTGACTGGGCCGCAGTTAGCTGTGCTTCTTCCTTCCTTCTGATCCCTGAGTCTAGCCTGGCATGGACTCGAAGCCTGTCATTTCAGCTACCTTTGACGCTGCTGTTCAGGAACTGTATCAACCTGGTCTGCCGAGATTGCCTAACGACAGGTCTGTTGGGCTAGAGGGATGTCTCTGGACCCAAATCTGCAGGCCAATGCCCTGGGAAGGACAAGCACTGAACCGGGCAGGGCAGCCTTACCCCTAGATGGAGTGCTGTGGCCATCCCTCGCTCCCAGACATATCTCCTGGGTATCACCAGGGCCAGCAGGTGTGTCTTCAATGCCACGTGCTTATAATCGAAGCTCTAGTGGGTCTCTTTAAACTGCAAAGACTCTTGGCAAATATCTTGCGCAGTTACTATACCTCTGGGTATAGCGGGTGTGTGTGTGTATAGTACAGTTACCATACTTCTTCAGTGCCTTTTCTCCAGAAATTCCATCCCCCCCACCCCCCCACCCCCCCCACCCCCAGCCCAAGAACCAAAGTGGAAAGGAATAGGGAGGCGGGGAAGGACAAGGAAGGGAGCCCTGAGTGTGCAGGTGAGTGTGCATGTGTGTGTGTGAGAGAGAAAGAAAAAGAGAGAGGTTCCCCGCCATCACCCACAGGAGATATAGCTGGGTGTCTGTGTCTCTTGTGACTCGGTTATTAAGCCTGGATACGAACATTTTCGTGTCTTTGAGAACTGTGTGTGGATGAGTGCGTGGGTAAGCTCGTGTGACTGGGAGTGAGTGAGCATGAGGGTACGTGGTTTTGAGTGTTTTTCAAGTGCCTGACTGTGTATTTTAAAGTAGACAGACTGGATAACCAAGATAATTGTTAACTTAAAAGCATTAATTTGCTTTGCTTTTTTTGGGGGGGGGGTGCAGCAGTGGTTAAAAAGACCTAATCCTTGCTTAGGGTTCAGGTTACAGCTGAATTGGTCTCCTGGCCTCCGGGGGAAAACTTGTCCCCAGGGCGGGCTCAGGGAGAGTCAGCCTGGCTGTTTAGTTTACCTGGTTGTTTTCTCTTCTCATTAGGGATAAAATGTTGATAAAGTCGTGTATTTAGAGTTTCCAAGTAACACCATCCCTGGGACTGAGAGCGTTCATCTGGTGGCAAACAGTGTCTCTCTGTCTCCGCGCGTCTCTCCGGGTCTCTGTCTGGGTGTATGTGTGTCTCTCTCTTTCTTTCCCCCACCCCTCTTCCTCTTTAATGTGGCTATTTCCTCTCCTCCCCGCTTCCCTGGGCTCCTGTGGCCAGCTCTTACAGTGAGGGGACTGTTCCTCCTAGCCCCTCCCTCCAAAATATGAAATGAAAACCATAACCATGTCAGCGGGTGAGGGTGGCCCCGTGGGCAGCCGGCTATTGCCCATGCCCCATCCAGGCCACACTGGAGAGAGAGAGAGAGTCAGTCCCCACTCTTGGAGCCTGATCTTCAATCAGTTGCTTCTAAGCCTGTCTCCACCCCCCCCACCCCCCGACCCCCCCACCCCCGCTCCATTTTTCCAGAAGGGTGGAGAAGGGGGATGGACTGCTTAGAAATTCCTCAGGAATCCCTTTGACCTCTCTTCTCTCAGTGACATGTCCCCTGGGGAGGTGGGGAAAGCCTGGGGCCGGGGGAGCACTTTTCCACTTCTTACCCCTCATCTCCTTGAGTCTCTACAGAGTGGAATGTGAGAGAGGGCAGCGGAAGACACCAAGGCCAGAATTACCACAGGCAGAGAAAGAAGAAAGTTATCAGCCAACCCCTAAATGAGATTGTTTTCTGAAACCTTCAGGAATCTGAGAGCATGAGAACCGGTTTGAGATGTGAGCGGCCGGGACCTGTTGTAAAAGGAGCCTGCCCTGGGTGTGAGTTTGGGAATGCGAGGTGTGCATTCACTGGGGCGTGCGAGCGTGCGTGTGCATGATTCAGGGTGTGTGTGTGTGTGTGTGTGTGTGTCCCCCTGTGCATGCGTGCGCAGTGCTCCGGTGAGAGGAAAAGGGAAGCGGGGCAATGTGCGTTTTGTTTTCATTGGAGAAGTCAAGAAGTGGAATGGCTTGGTCCAGTGCCTTGGATTGAGGGTGGGGGAAGGGAACGGGTAGTTTCAGACCCTCTTGCGAAGATGGAGGTGGAGGAGCTTGCTGCCTGAACCCCCCCCAGTCCCTGCCCCAGCTCTGTTCCCCGCGTGTCAGGGTGTGGGCCTCCCTTGACGTCCCGTACCCCTAGCACATGACCACTTCCAAGAAAGAGTCCCTGTCAGGGCTGGAAACTGCAGAGCTGCTCTGAGGCTGGCAGTGCCCGCAAGAGGCCCAGGCCTGGGGACAGCTTCTTCAGGCTCAGTTGTAAGACGCAGTCTGGAAACAGAGGGACGCCTGGGCCTTGGCGGGGAGAAGTGATGCAACGGCTAACTCAGGGATGTCTGCGGGGTAGAGGAGACAGGCACCTGGGCGAAGAGGGGACACAGGCCCTCCCCCCCATTGGCCCCTGTGTCACCAGACTGGCCACTTTCCTCCCATGCCCCCATACTGCCACTCCAAATGGCATGTGGTGGCGTGGTTGGTGCCAGTGGGTTGGTAGACGCGGAGCCTGAGTTTGGGGCCTTTGAGGAAATCATTGAAATTCCCTTCCTCACTTGTAAAATGGACTAGAGTATCAGGAGGGGCCCTCTCAGCTCTGAGATTCTGCACATCTCAACTAAATCCTTCCTGCTGGAAGGCAGAAAACACTATAGCAAGCCTTGGTCCTGCCCCCAGGCCTCTGTGGGCCTTCCCGCCTAACACTCAGGCCCTCTTCTTCCTGGGCCCTCCTCTACTACTCCCTGCCCGAGTCTGTCACTTGGCTACTCCTCCTTTCTTCCCCCACCCCAGTTTCCTGGGGCCCCAAGTACCCGATTGTTCTGCATCCTTAAGTAGAGTCTTTCCCCCTGGAAAGAGCCCCTACAAAACAAGTGTGTGTTTCTGTGCATGCATGTGTGTGTGAATGTGTGTGTATCCAGCAACTTTGGGTAAGGAAGCTGCGATGGTTGTGTTCTAGGAACTGAATACTATCTGGGCAGGGACCCGAGGCCCCAGTCCCTGGTCCTACATGGTATATTCTCAGCTCCAAGACTGGCCCTCTGTATTCTGCTCCAGCCGAAACATCTCCCCCTTTCAGACCAAGGTACTGTTTTGTAGTTGCTATTGGGTTTGGCCACAGAGGTGAAGAGGTGACACCTGAATAGGGCGCTGTGGCCCTCACTCTTACCTATGGTTTCCCTGTGGCTGTACCCGTAGCCCTTCAGAGCTGTGGGGTTTGGATTTCGGAGCTCCAGGCCAGGGGCTGTCCACTTCTGGTCCCTGATGGCACCAAGCTGAGGAGAGACCTGGGCAGGAGCTGCTGGGCTGGAGGGAAGATCCAGAATAAGGAAAGAGATCTAAGGAATCCCTGGGTGAGGGTGGAGGGTTAGGGTATGCGGGCATGGAGTGGGGGGGGATTCTGGAAGAAAGGGGGAGCTTAAAGGATAGACCCTGGGGAGCAAGTTTACAGAGAGGACGTTTTTACAAGTTTCTAATTATATTTATTTGGAGTTTTCCTCTGGCGGTTTGAAGCTGTTAACAGCAGGAACCTGTATCCCGGTGTTTGTTTTTGTTTCTAACCAGCTGCTTGGCCCAGCATAGTGAATCCGAGTTGGAGACACCTGCCCACCCCGTCCTCGCTGCAGCTCTGTCTGCACCCACCATGGCGCACTGCCCTCCTTCCCTGCCCGCCACTCAGCCTTGCCCTCCTTCCAGCCACCCCCATGCACAAAGCCTCAGAGCATCCGCATCCCTGCTCTGGCTCTCCGACCAGGAATATCCACCTGTCAGTTCCAGGCCATTCCATGGTTATGTATCCGTGCTGAGTTGGGGTCGGGGGAGGCACAACAATGACTAAGGCAGGGATTCCTCCCCCGGGGTGTTTCTGGATAGTGTGTAGTGAGCAAGCACTGGACTAGGAGTCAGAAGACCCGGGGTCTGGCTCTGCACAAACTGTTCGCACTTGCCCTCTCTGGGCTGGTTCCCCATCTACGTAGTGAGAGGGCCATTTGAGGCCCATGTGAAATAGCCTGGGTGAAAGCTCCGCACACGTAATTATGCACCATCTGACACCATCGTTGTTCATGCTGTCATTTTCTCCATCTGTGTAAAGAGATAAGATGGATAATCATGAAGCTGGAACCTGCCTTGGCCCACTGCCTGCCTCCCTGCCCCTCTCTCTCCAGCGTTTTGTTCTTTCCTCCCTACCCGAGGATCCCCTACCTACCCATCCTCTAAAGGCCTCTGACTCAGGGTTGGTTTCATCCACATTGAAAAGGAGAAAATTCTTGTCCATTTGGGGTACCTTCAAATGAGCAAGGAGCTGGTTTAGGGATAAGGTGGTAGGACTTAGAGAAACTCATCAAGGCCTCTTGATGGGTGACAAAGCTCTCAGGTTCAGCCCTGCTCCCCTCCGAGCTCTGAGCACCAACTGCTTTTCCTGGCTCTTCAGTCAAGCAGGCTCAGCTATATAAGAAAAAGGGTCCTTTTTCTGAAAAGAAGAAAGTGCTCTGTCTCCTCTCCTTGGGGTCTTCTGTGCAGTTTCCTGGACTCTGTCCAGGCCTTCCTTACCCCTGCCTATGCTTTGTCCAGGCCGAGGATGGGCCCAGGCTCCAGCTGAGGTCACAGAGTCTCAGCCTGGGATTCCAGGTTGGGAAGATAGCCTGAGAAGCCCAAGCTGGGATGCCAGGCTCAGCCAGTTACCCTAGTTGCCCTTTTCATCTAGAGGGAGAACACATGCACACATATACAGGTCAGGGTCTCATGGCCGAAGCCTGGGCTGGTTCTACTTTGGGTGTTACTTACATGTGGAAGGCAACATGGAGGAAAGAATAAGAGAACTGACCAGGAGCAGCAATGGTGTGCTGGTCTCAGGTGGACCCTGGTGCCCCATCATCAAGTGCTACTTAGCACTGAGGCTGGGGAACATTTATTGGACAAGGATACTCCTAAGAGATGCCTGAGCAGCTCCAGATAATATCTGAAGACCCCGAGAGCCTATGGGTCCTGTAGGATTCCCTACAAATCCTACCCTGGATTCATTGTTCCCAGTCTCTTCTGGCCTCTGCATCACCAAATGGATCCATTTAAGTGGGTCTCTTACTTTCTCTGAGTTTCCTATCCCCCTACCCTTAACTTAAGACTAAGTTTTCTAGGATTGCCCTCCCCCTAGAACAACTGTGGGGTCACAGGAAAATAAAAAGTTTTTCCTTGTGGTAACATAGAACTGGGAAGATGACACAAATATGGACCTCATCTATTCACCCACCAACCCATCCATCCACCCGTCCGTCCATCCACCCATCTGAGTAAATGTTTTACGAATATTTACTAAGTGCCTTCAGTATATAGGTCTGTCTTGTTCACTGCTGGATGCCCAGCTCCTAGCACAGTGTTTGGCATGTTGCAAATGCTTAGTAACTCTCTGTTGAATGGCTAAATGCATATGATCAGCTCCCAGCTGCCATGTGGATTTCAAAGATTCAGAAGCCATAGCCTCAGGGAGGCTTCTGGAGGAAGATACTGCACATGAACTAGAAGTTAAATAATGGTACAAAGCAGCACGTAAGAGGCATCATAAGACAGTGATTGGTCAGGCAATCAGACAGCCTGCACTCAGCCCAATCACCTGAGGCTAACCTGGCTTGGGCAGGAAGGATGTCACGGTCATGCAGGCCCATTAGGATACCAGGCAGGCTGCTTTGGACCTCCTCACTGGGCCCAGCAAATCGGCTGCTGTGAGTGATAGGGTAACTACTGTGGTAATGTAAAGGGGGGTGGGGTGGACTCTCCCTAGGGGTGTCTGCTTATCTGCAGCCTGCATTCTGCTCATTTCCATTTGTTGTTACTCCTGAGCTGGACCTGGGCAAAATTTTGAAGCAGATGGAAGTGTTTCCTTCAGGGTCCTCCTGCTTCCCTTTTGGGGTACTTCCCCATCCTCAGAAGGGAATCTTAGGACTGCCCATGGTCAAACAATCCACCCTTTCTGGTCCGGTCTGCCCTCTCACCCTCTAAACGCCACCCCCACATCCCACCCTCCCTCCCTACATTGAGCAGAGTTTGTGGAGCGCTTTGCTAGGTGCAGAAGCAAATCCAGCAGAAATGTCAGATGGCACTGGGAAAGCTGCTGCAGTTACAGACCCATGCATTCATGCCAGGGGAGGGTAAGGCAAGGAGGTCTGGACTCATCTGGGGTATCTCTGCAGCTGCCACTCTCCCCAAGTTCAGCTTTTGATCCAGCCCCGCACCTGGGGTGGGAGTAAAGGCACAAAAGGAGAGCCCTCACAAGGGATCGTGGAGGGCTGCTTTTTGGTTCCCAACTGGCCCGTCACCCACTTCACCCTCCTCTTTGGGCAGTTCCAAGCATGGGCAGAGAGAGTGGTGTCTCCCCAACATTCCCTGTACCATCACAAGCTCTCCTGGTGCTGCATTGGCCCTACACCAGGCCTGAAATGGGGCTTTGGTAAGAGGAAGGAGGAGCAGAAAGGGGGTTCAGAAACAATACCGGGGAGACAGTTGGAGAGAAGGAACAAAAATAGCAGACCTTTCTGAGCACTTACTATATGCCCGCACTGCAGTGCTAAGTACTTGACAAGTATTAACTCATTTGATGCACATGGCAGCCCCATGAGGAGGTGCTATTATTCTGAGACGCAGTTACAGAGGAGGGAACAGGTCAGTTCAGAAGCTGGCCCAGGACCACACAGACAGAGGTGGGGTTGGCATTTACACTGACACGGTATCACTCCAGAATCCCTTTTCTCAAACACTCTGTCATCTTGCTGCCCCCAGTGTCTTCCCAGCTCGGGCAAATGGTTCTATTCATATTATCTGAGATGGTAAAGGAAGATAGACAGCAGCCCAGCCCAGCCTCACCCTAGAGATCCTGATGCAGCTGGTGTAGGAGAGTGCCTAGACAACCACATTTTTTAAAAGGCCCCCAGGGAATCCCAGTGTGCAACCAGGGTTGAGAACCACCGGTCTAGACCAATCCATGTCCAACTAGCGTCAACTTGTTTGTCAGGCCAGTAGTAAATACTTGCTCCCTGAGAGCTATGATGAGACTGTGCCTATGGGTATCGAAAGGATCCCTGCATGGACAAATCGTGGGTGGGCAGATGTGGTGGAAGGGGGCTCTGAAAGAATGAACTGGCAAAAGGAGGAGACACAGGATATAATGGGGGGCCCTATTTCAGAGCTTTGTTTTGTTTGTTTGTTTGTTTGTTTTTAGAGGGGGGAGGGGCAGAGGAAGAGGGAGAGAGAGAATCTCAAGCAGGCCCAGGGCTCGATCTCACGACCCTGAGATCACCTGAGCCGAAACCAAGAGTCAGGCGCCCAACCGACTGAGCCACCCAGGCACCCCTCAGAGCTCTGCTTTAGGCCTGAACTGCTTCAAAAGATTCCAGTCAAATGGTTGAAAGGTCCTGTCCTCAATGAGTGACTAGCCAAGTGAGGGAAGCTGAATATGCCACACAAGAGGGCTTGACAGCATTAGTAGAAGGACTCAGCAATGGCAGCAAGTGAGTGGAGGCAGGCTGAATCCCCTGGGACCAGGAACTCTTTAGGAATGGGGCTCAGCAGGAAGAGCTTTGGGGAAGACAATTTTGAACCAGATTGGGGTAGCCGGGAACAGTGTGGTTAGAGAAAAGAGAACTGCATCTCAAATGTGAAGAATGAGATGTATGTGAATGCTTGGACAAGGGCAGAATGCTTAGACGTTGTAGAGGGAGGAGCTGAGAGATCGAAGTCTTCCAGGGCAGAGACTCTTGGCTGGAGAGGGATAAGCACCGTGAGTAGGGCGATGAGGGAGTGGGTAGGATGGTGGGAAGAGCCCAGCTGCTGGAAGGGTCTACAGGCTCTGCCGGGAAGCCTGGGTTTGCTGCCATCAGCATCAGGGGCACTCTGGTCCTAGTGAGCACTGAACTGGAGGCAAAGCAAAGAACTGAGAGCCCAGATAGCCCGGTGCAGACTCCAGCAAATCACCCAATGATTCGGAGACAGGCATGTCCCTCTGAAATGGGCCTAGAGGAAGGGCTTCCCAGTGGGTTTCTAAATCGCCCGGCTGGCTGCAGGGGAAGAGATGGTGAGAGACAGAAGAGAGCTCAAAGCAGGATGGACAGAATGATCATTAGTCACTGGGATTGTCCAATGTCCCAGGCCAGCCTCGAAGACTCACAAGGGCATGTATAAATGTGGGGACAGAGAATAGGACTTGGATCTCTGGGTGCCTTATCTTTCTTCATGTGTTCAATCACACTTGAAATTTCCTCTTTCTTCTTCTGACGGTCAAATGCTGATCCAGTCTCCAAAACTCAACTTGAATCCCA